GTCACAGGACTCTGCACAGGAGCCAGGGCTTTTCCATGTTGGCATTGGGCCCTCCCCGGTGGCACAGTGGGTTGAAGCGCAGCTCTGCGAGGCTGGCCACTACCGCTTCAGCGTTTCAGCATGAGTTCGATCCCCAGCCAGGGAGTGACCCCCAGGGCGCAGCACACCCCCCTGCCCCCCGCTGCTCCCCTCAGCAGTGTACTTCAGTTGATCCGCCTGTTCTGCTCCCCACGCTGTCTCCGGGGAGTCCTCTCACCCCCACACCTCTGGCCTGTGCCCCAGCTCTTGTGTGCATAAAATAAATAAATCGTTTTTTAAAAGGAGTGGCATTTGTACTCTTCATTAATCACTTTCAAAATGTTAATTACACAGCCAGTGAAGTGAAGCTGGGTTTCTGAAAATTGCCAAACAGGCTGAACGCGGCCTTCAGAAGTTACACACGATACCCCGTCTCCCCATGGGGAAGAAACGAGGACTTTCCAGAACTCTCGGTTATCAGTGATGATTTAGATATACACAATGACATTTAAAAGTGGCTGTTGGCATCTGATTTTTTAGAATACCTGTCACAAATGCCTCAGTGCGCATTAATGAATTATTTATCATGTACTGATCTTCATTTTCTTTCCCCAGATGCGAAGAGCCTCGCTGAAATGCTGATGAGGTAAGAACGACAGCCAGCACCCAGATGCCATATTTAAAAGAACCCCAGTTTGCGTCAGGGTTTGGTAATGACGCTCTGAGGCTGGTGGCGCGTGACTGACGGGCGGCGGGCACCAGAAAGGGCAGGACGGCCGCTTTGGCCGGCCGCTGGGGCGGCCCCTCCCGACCGGCGAGCAGTCAGCGCAGTGGAATTACGGAGCGGCCGTGTGCTGTGTCCAGACGCTCTGGGGCCTGTCAGCTCGGCACAGTGCACCGGCCTTTGCCGGTCCGGTCACAGCGCCCAGCTCTGCAGGGGTCTGTGTCTGTGCCTCTCTCGCTACGCAGGCTGGGAGGTGAGGAGCATGCTCGCCCCGCCACACAGGGCGCCCCGGAACTCCATTCAGCTGCCCATGTGCTGACACTAACCCAAAGGTGAAGGGGGCCGTCGGCTAAGAACCGGGTGAGGGGAACGGCAGGGCCGCGGTGGGGACTTGCTGTTGCCGCAGAGCAGAGGGGGGAGGGAGGAGGGGGCGCGGGGTCCCCCAGCCCGCGCAGCTGCCGTTCTCTCCCTCCCCGTCTTTGCGTGGAAGTGCACACTGTGTGACTCGCACAGCCTGCTGAAGACACAGGCAGAGCCGCGGCCGCTGGCCCAGGGCCACCTCCCGCGGGCCTCTGGTGGCCCCGGGGGGCTGCGAACAGCATGAGCTCTAGGCCTGGGACATGGCGGAATCGCGGATCACTGGAACTGCGCCCGTGAGCGGCTCCACGGGACCCGGCGCCGTTTGCCGAGGTGATGGGCCTTTGTCCTGACGCGAGTTGGGAGGCTGTGAGGGCCTGCAAAGACCTGCTCGGGTCTTGCTGAGTTTGGGGTGATTTTTCAACATCCGGAAGGTGTCAAGTCGATGGCTGGTGCAGGCGTCTGGGGCGCCGGGGCGGCGGGGAGCTGTGAGGGCTTGGCCCGCACCCGCTTCCCCGTGGCTCGCCGTGCGGAGTCAGACTTGCAGGCAGTGCTCTGAGAACCCACCGGGAGCCCCGCGAGCCAGGCCGGGCGGAAGCTCCCCAGCTTGGTGGTCGCAAGGACAGCGGCGTGGCGACTGCCTCCACCAGGTCAGCTGGAAGCCGCGCGGCCAGCCCGGGGCCTTGGGTTCGGGTTCATCTAGCACCCACAACGGTGCGCGTGTAAACCGAGACGCACTTGAGCCTGGCGAGTTCACCCGCGTCCTGAGCGTTCTGGATGCCTGTGGGCCTGGGGGGCGTCTGCCTGGGGTACGGCAGGGGCCTCTTTACCGAGCTCGCCCTCACCCCACGCCGCAGCCCCAAGGGCCCCCAGTCTGGCTCCTGCTGCCACTCTGGCCACCCCGTCATAGACATCCCTGTGCTGAAGCCCTTGCTGTGATGTGACGCTGGGCGCATGGCGCTGCCGGGCTCCACGTTTGCTCGGTAGGATGAACTGGTCCCAGTCAGTATCTGCGGTCCCCAGGATGCACCCCACCCTGCTCACTCGCCCCCGCCGAACCCCACTCAGCATCCCCTGCGTCCCCTTGGCCATCGGGCAGGCCCGCCAGTGGTGCGAGCCCCGGGCAAGCGGAACGGATCGGGGCGCCGGCAGGCGGCGGTTGCCAGCGAGATAGCGGGAACGTTAAGCCCAGCGGTTACTCCCACTGGAGGGAGGCTCGGGGCTTGTCCCGTAGGGGAGGTGACTGGAAAGGGAGGGGGTCCCCGAGCTGCTCCGGTAGCTGTTTTCGTGGGATTCACTTAGAAGGCAGAGCGATGCTTTTAGTCACGAAACGTGAGCTGAATCTGAGTTTGGCCAAGGCCGTGTCACTGCCCTGGTCGACCATGTTTTCAGGGTGCCCAGAAGTCTGGGCGAGAGGCCACTGGAGCGCTGCCCCTGGCCTTTGCTGCCACTTTCTTAGGGAGTCGAGGTCTCAGCAGGCTGGTGGGGTGAGAGGCCCCAGCCTGTGTTCTGGAATAGGTGCTGTGGATGAGCTGCTCTGCCACGGGGGACAGTCGTCGCCCCCCTCTGTTCCATTTGCCGCATGTGGGAGCGCGCTGTTATTCTTCTGGTGTTGTCATTTTGTGACCGAGGAGAACAGAGCATGTTTTCTGACCCTGTTCTGCTAGAAATTCTGAGTATCTTAGCAGAATGTGCCATCCCGAAGTCAGGCAGTCGAGCTTGCTTAGGGCGTGTGGACATTTGGGTGAAGTGAGCCACCCCAGAGAACAGAGAGCCGCCTGGCCCGCCTGCCCTGTCCTTCTGTACAACAGGCAAGGGGGATTCTTCAAAGAGCCCCCAGTCTTCTAAGAGGTTTCCCTGGCCTGGCCTAAGTCTCTGACCTTGCACACATGTTAGAGTCCAGGGCAAGCACTCACCAGATCGTGGAAGACAGCCATGCACACTGGGAGTTGGATTGGCTCTGGCTTTCTGTCTACACAGAGAAAGAAGCCCCGCCACTCGCCGTGTGGAGAGCTGGTCCGGTGGACGGCAGCTGTGTCCACTCCGGAAGCTCCGTCACGCCGTGTTAGAGAGGTGGGCCAGTGGCCGGATGCCTTTGGTAGCTTTTCCACAATCCTAAGAGAACATGACAGCTATAAGGAGTTGTATCAAGTGCAAGGAATGCACTTGCTGAGCCCAGACACACGCAAAAAACATTCAGAAAAATTCAGAAATATCCAGAAAATATTCACTGTGAACCAGCCGCAGCTCTCTGTCATTCTCGTCAGACAACCAGATGGCAAATGGGTGGTGGAGAATTATATTTCAGTAGTGACTAACCAGTCTCTCTCACGTGATCCCTAACCACAGAGACGCAATTTTGCGCCCCGCTGCCAACATGCAGCAGCTTTTCCAGGTTACAAAGGACATTTCTTCAAATAACTTTTTCTGGAGGTTGGCTGTCGTTCTGATGAACGCTGGCTATCCTTTTTGAGAACTGGCCCTCACGTAACAATAGCTTATGAGAGATGGCGCCAAGATTAATGGAAAGAATCGATTTGGCTGGGCCCCATAGCCCTTTTAGAACAGGAAGAAAACGGCTGGCGCTGGGCCCGCCGCTGTCCCCAAGCGGGCACCTGCCGGGGCACATTCTGGGCTAGTCCCAGTGCCATGTGGGGAACCGAGTTTACTTCCCAGTAGGAGAGACGGATGATACGTCGGTAACGCTGTGGGTTCAGGCGGGCTCGGACACAGCAAGGGGGAGGGAGCCCGACACCTGTGGCCGTGGCCGGCCGCGGGCCTCCTGGGAAAAGGTCGCACCTTGCTGAGCCCCTGGAGGGGGCAGGCCAGCTGCAGGGGTGTCCAGGCATCAGCTAGCCGGGGGGAGGGGGGAGGGGTGCTGGGAGCCACAGGTCAAAGTGCGTGGGCACAAACAGCCCCCGTGTCGAGCGCTGTCGGCCGCTCCCTGGCCTTCCTGCTCGGGCCTGGCAACACGCGTCCCACCGGGCTGAGCGTCCTTGCTCTTAGTGTGGTCATCGTCGGAGTCTTCCGGCCAGGGGCAGCGGAGCAGATCGGCTGTTCACTGGCTTCCTGGCCGCGGGCCCCTCTGCGGTAGCCGGTCCCCGGGTATTTGGCGGAGCAGCTGTGCGTGGTCGGCAGCGGGGAGCCCGCTCACGGTTCTATTTCTGGGTCCCCGGTGGAGACTAAACATAACCCTCCACTCTGCTGAGGGGGTTCCCCCCTGTGTTTCCGTGGAAAGGGCGCTTGTCTGAGCATAACGCCCCCAAAGCAAAATGCGCCTCATGTCAGGCGAGTGTCTGCGCCTCTGGTTCGTGCTGCTGTTGCTGTTTGAGACACACGTGAAGGGAAAAGCAGGAACATAAAGGCCCCGGGACAAATTCAGGGCAAAGGTTTGAACTTGGGCTCCGTGGCGTCCGCGTGGTCTGGCCCCGTGACCTGGCTTCTCACCCGCGAAGCGAGAACTGTGATTCTGTGTCAGTCCTGAGCGCTGAGCTGCCCGACACTGCTGTGGCCACATTCGTGGGCCTCTTCGCTGACTCACAAATGAAGGAAGGGATGTTAGCCGGCATCCAGGGAGCCGGCACAGACCAGCCTGCAGCAGTTCAAGGTCGAGTGAACTTGACCTCCAGGTTGTTCACCCAAGGGCTCGAGCGTGAGCGTTGTCATCGGTGAGAAGCGCCCGCTGGCTGCTGCAGTCGGACACCCGCCCTCACTCGCCCCACTCTGACCGGCACAGAGGATGCCACTCTGTGTGGGCTGCACACCCACCTCAAAGCACGCACTGGCGGCTGAGGGGCTGCCTGCGGCTGGGGCCTCCCGGTGGTGGGTCATCTGACTGACGCCAGGGACACTTTAAGGTCTCGCAAGCGCGGCTGTTCGGTGCAGACGGCGGCTCCCGCAGCCCGCGGGAGTGCCCCAGGGCGTTATGTTCTGCAGGGCTCTCCGTGCCTTTGTGTGGCAGATTTTTTTTTTTTCACAGTGGACCGTAACTGGATTTGCTGAGACCAAGGCAGTGTCGCCCCCAATTTCATCACACTTAGCAGGCACGCCTCTGTGGAGGTCATGTTCCGGAATAGAAATTTGGAGACAAAATTCACATAGTAATTACTTTCCTCTCTCTTAGTTACCAGAACAAAATAAAACCACAGCAGACGAAAGTGCGCATCCTCTGGTCAGAGCCCCGTGGTGAAAGCAGGTTCCCCGGCCTCTGCCCGCATCTCGTAGCTGACGAACATACACTGTTGCTTCAAAAGTCACTTTTTGTGGCTTCGTGTAGTTTCCAAAGAGGAGATGGGAAGTCCCAAGTCAGCTAGTGATCGCTATAGAGCCGACTTCCATTGGCGGCATGATTTTTCATACCCGATCGCCGGCGGCCCCTGTTTAACCTTCGCAAAGAGCATTTGAACAAGGGAAAGGGTGGGTCCTGCGTGTCTCGCGGCCCTCCCTGCAAGGCGTTCGCATGGCTGTGAGCAGCGAGTCAAGTGACAGCAGCAGCGCGCGTGGCCTCGTGCAGGGCTGAGCTCTGTCAGTAACTCAGCCTCCCTGTTTTGTCCCCAGTAAGAATACCCGGACCTCAGACACCCTGAGCAAGCAGCAGCAGACCTTGAGGATGCACATCGACATACCCAGGGCTCAGCTGTTGATTGAAGAGAGAGACACGATGGAGACCATCGGTAAGGTTGCGCCTCTGCCTCCTGACACAACACGGCTGCCACAGCCTTGCCCTCTCACCCCAAGCCCCGCCATGGGGAACACTAGCTAGAGGAACATCTACACTGTAGCGACACTAGCCAAGGAGTCAGAAAGCAGAGAATTGTTGTTCCGTGGAGTAGCAGCCACTGTGGAGGGAAATGAGCTTAGACAGAGGCACCTGGAGCTCTCCAGTGCTCCAAAGAGCAAGAGCCTAGATCAGACCCAACCAAGTGGCTGCTCCCCAAGGTCTGGCTTGGAAACCCAGCCTGCGCACTCTCCCTCGACCCCAGCAAGGTCTCCATTCCAGAATATGTTTGAGCTCCACGTGACACTTAGCAAACGTCTGCGCGGTGTCTGTCCTCACCCAGCACCCCCAGCACCCTTCTCAGCGCCCAGCAAGCGCCAGCTCCCTGTCCCGAGATGGCAACAGCCTCCTGGGCAGGCTTCTGCAGCTCCTTGCCCCAGCCAGCCTGCCTAACTCCCTCCGCCCTCTCTGAAGTCCTTGGTCCCACACGGCTGCCCAGGGCCCGTTCACTCGGAAGCAAGCTTCCTGTGCCCCTGCACCCGACTGGAGGCTCTGCATGTGTCACTTCACGCGCTTGGTTCATTTAACCCTCCCAGCGACACTGGAAAAGGCTGAATTTTGCGACCAAGACACCGTAGGTGCCAGAGCTCACAGGACATCCGGGGGTGTGGGGGAGCAGACCCAGACCCCGCTTCACCCCTGACCTGTACCCACGTCGGCATCAGCAGGCGTCGTCCAGAGCCATTCACCGGGAAGTATGCTGGGCCCCAGTGCCCTGGACTCTGGCCGAGGCAGGTGGCTGAGGCTGCCTCTCTCAGCCTACACTCTGAGTTTGTTCTGGAAGGTGCTGCTGGCACCGGGCCCCAGAGGAACCCCTTCCTGGAAGCTGGCTATGACACCCAACTCCTGGCACGTCCCCCAAAAGTGCCAGAGGGCAGACGGCGGTCAGGGCCAGGCTGGCAGGACAATCCCCTCATCCCCTGCCCCACCACACCTTATTCTGTTCTGCTAGAAATGCAATGGCAGCCATGACCTGGCAGCTCAGAAACTGTGAGGCCTGGCCTTGCACCGTGGAATGGGCACTCTGGCTAGACAGGGCAGCAGCGCTGGAGAGAACGGCTGACCTCAGCCAGTCGCCTGCAGCACAGCACCACTGTATGGATGGGGGCGCTGCTCACCCTGGACCCCTAAGATTTGGTCAGCCTGCTCCGCAGGCACAGCTCCAGGGTCTGCTTTAGGTTTCCTTTTCTTTCTAGAGTTCCTCCTATTCAGCTGGGTTGCTTGGGCATTAAAACTAAAATGTCCTGTGACTCATCAGTTCAAATTCCACAGCGCACCTTGGAGCTCATGCTGTGGCCGGAGCACTGGCCAAGTGTTGCTACCGGCGTGCTCTGCCCAGGGCCGCCCTCCTCTCTTCTCTCGGGGGTCCTGGAGCGGAGCCTCGCCCTCCAAGCTAGGGCCGCCCCAGAGCAGGGCCGCCGTCCACTCCGCACCTGGTGACAGCCCTTTACCAGAGCCGTGGCACCTCCTGGCCAGATCATCCATCACCTGGCATTGCTGACCACTGGGGATGCCAGACTGTCCCCATTACCGGGGAAGTAGAAATGTGATGCTTTAAAATGCTCTGGGCTCCGGCTGCCAGACGCCACTGGGTGAGCCACTGGTTTCCAGCCAGAGCACGTGGCTCCCCTCAAAATGGACAGGCACCTGAAATTCCGTTGAAAGCCGATCACGGAGCCCCGCAGAAAATGTGTGTGCTGCTCACCAGGCTGCCTGCAGGAAACCAAAATGCATCGATACTAGTAAAGGAAGACAGACCTCGGGCCAGGCCCTGAGCCAGGTCCAGCTTATCCAACCGAGAACAATGGCCTCCTCGAGGGTCGGGGAGGTCCAGGGCCAGAGCCCAGCCGAGCCCGGCTTCTGCCATGCGCAGCCTGCACCGGCTGCCCGCCGTGCTGCAAGCAGACACCTGGCATCTGTCCTCCACTTCTCTGCCAAGGAATTTTATTCTAACTTCGAGAGGCTTCCCTTCTGCCAGAGCCTGAATAATTGCTTTTATAAGGTCCGTGCTGTTAAGAGCCTTTTTTGGGCACAAAGTCGTGCTGTGTTTTGGTGCCCTTCACACCACCCTCCCGCAGCCGGGCACGTAGGGCGAGGCCCCAGCGGATGGGCAGACTCACAGGACACCAGCCGGCCGAGGGCTTCATGTTGTCATGAAAAATTCCTATAACCTTCCCAGAGCATCCGTTGGAGTCAACACGCTCTCAAGACAGTGTGGGAAGTATCACAAAATGATGAAAATCTTGAGACAACTACATAACAGCACACAGCTCCTTCAAAACACGATCCAGTCATCCCACTCCAGGTATTTACCCACAAAATAACACTAATCTGAAAAAGACACATGTACCCCACCCCCACCCCATGGTTACTGCAGAACCAGGAGCAGGAAACAACCCAGGGCCAGAGGCAGATGTGGATGGAACCGGGTCCTGTATACACAGCCAAACACTACTCGATTACCAACCGGAAAAAGATGAAGCCCGGCTCTTTGCAGCAACATGGATGGGCGAGGGGGCTGATGCTCAGTGGATTACGTCAGGGAGACAAAGACAGACACCATACAATTTCACAATTTTAATTTCATAGGAAATTGAAAAACAGATGAACCGAATAAAACAAAAACAAGCTTTGGGGCTGTAAGACCAGTTAGTGGTGACCAGGTGAGATGGGGGAAAGGGGTGGCTAAATCTGGACAAAGGGGGGACAGTGGTGTGGTGTGGCGAAGGACAGAACTGGAGTCTTCCAGTGACCTAGCTATAGATGTGCATGTTGGTTCTCCACAATGGGTACCTGTAACAGATAGAATATTACAAGGTCCCTTTAATCAAGCAATGAAATAAAAACAACAAAAGACCATGGCAAAGAACAAATCTGAATCCGGCTCCTGCTTCCCTAACTTCAAGTACCCACAGCAGCGGGTGCTGGAACTCTGACAGTGAGCCGTTCTGAGAAGTCTACTAAAGGATGCGCTAGAGTAATTCGAGCTCCGAGGAGGTGGAAGCCAAGGAACATACCTCAAACCTTTAAAACAGAGGAATCAATAAGCTCTGAAAACTGGCCTGGCCTCCCTTTTCCTCCCCCTCCCCCTCTTCTGCCAGTCCAGCAGGGAGCCTGCCCGGGTCGCTAGTGGTGCCAACAGAGCTCATTTTAAATGGCAGCCTCATCGCCAGGGTCCGCTGACCTCACCGCAAAGGCCTTAAGCAAGCTTTTTATAGACCTCAGTGCAAGCGCTTGTGAGGGGTTAGCTGCCACCCCGATCCCCCCACCATCAGTGTTGGCTCCCTGAGAAGAGATCCAGCCCCAAGGGAGCAGAGACCCCACGCGACAGTCCCTTAGGCTGGTGCTCCGAAGGCCATCCTCTGAACATGCTTCTATTTTAGCGTTCTAGAGTCATTCCAGTGAAGTGCTTGAGCTCTTAGTTGTTTTTGTTCCCTTCAATGAGATTATTGTTGCTATAAAGAACATTGCAAGCACCTAAGGAAAGAAGCGGGGAGGGGTCACCAAGTGGGTCATCCTGTCTGAGCCCTGTTTCTCGCCACCCACAGACGACCGCTCCACCGTCCTGTTGACAGACGCCGACTTTGGAGAGGCAGCCAAGCAGAAGTCTCTGACGGTGACCCACACGGTCCACTACCAGTCGGTGTCGCAGGCCACGGGGCCCCTGGTGGATGTTTCGGACGCCCGGCCAGGAACAAGTGAGTGGCCCGTAGCATGTAAGCTAGGGGGTGCGTGTTTGCACTGTGGGGAACTCATTCACCCACTGCCCCGGCACCCCGGCCTGAACAGTTAGGTATCACAGCATCTTTTATTGGGATCCTGAGTTTTTATTGCTTAATCTTAGCTGTTATTAAAATTGTGTCATTTGAAGCGAGTAACTGGGTAGCACAAAGATGCTAGAAATTTCGGTCAAGGTAATTGTTCATTTTTTATGAAGACAACACAGGAAAATGGAAGATGACGTGGTTTGTATGTCTGGGGCCTGGAGTGGGACAGAAAAATCTGCCATACTTTATCTCTGCAACAACTTTTTTAAGGAACCTACTTAGAGAGCGGATACCGTAGCCCCACTTTTCAGATGAGAGAGCCCAGGGCAGAGACGGGCGGGAAGCAGCTGGCGGTGCCCGTCACGGCCGTGGAACCCGGTCAGCTGTAGGTCTGCTGTCCCCAGAGCTCCTGGGACAGGCTTTGCTCCTAAAATTATGCTTCTGGCTGATGTGAAAACTGTTTTGTTTAGTTATTAATATCAGCATCCATAATACATGGAAATTAATGACTGTGATGAAGCGAAACCCCCATTGTATGTCTAGAGCTTATTAATTAGATATTCTTGTTTCTTCTAATTAAAATTGTTCCTAAGTCTCTTTAAAAACTGAGAAATCGACGTCCTGATGATTATCTTTTGCGAAGCTTTGATGTCTCAAGTCTCTAATTGCTCTCCTTGCCAGAATTTACATTCTCAGAGGGTCGTAATTAGAAGAATCAATATTACACTGTTAGGAGCTACTCGCCATGACTCTGCCTCGGAAGGCCCCGTGCAGCGCCCCGAGCTCCGGAACGCGCGGGTGGATTCCTGCAGAACCTCGCGCCCCACAGCGAGACTCCAAACAGCTTTTGAAATCTTGTGCAACGCTGTGTTCAGGAGCTTGCGCCCATTTTTCCTCCCTGCTGCCTGACCTCCCCGGCGCCCTTCTTTGATGACGTCGGCACGTGCTGACCCCCGAAACTTGGCGCCGGGAGAACTGGCACTGAGAGGGGCCCGGTCCCCGAGAGCCAGCTCTTGAACTTCGCCGCGTTTCTTGACATCCTGTCCGGCTCTTGGCTTTTTCGTGGTGACCTGATCTTCCCGGGCCACTTGGGCTTGTTCAGGACACCGCAGCACTGAGCCACTAACTGCTGGTACGTCGGGTGAGGTCACAGATCGCCAGAGACTAGGTCGTGGCAGCCTTGGCATCAACATCCTCCCGGCTCGGCCAGCGTGGAAGATCACGGAGACATTAGCAGGAGGAGAGGACGAGGCAGCGAGAGCCAGGCGGGCGCCCTGGGCACCCCGGGCAGGTGAAACTGTGAGGACCCAGCCCCGGGCTGCCCAAGTGTGTGTTTCCAGCCTCAGCCCACGACTCTGAATGCGAGTCTAGCGCAGGGCCCGGGAGGCTGCGTTGCAGCTGGCCCCGGTGACGCTGGCGCGGGCTGCCGGGGCTTCTGGCAGCCCTGGAAGCCCTGTCCCCCCTGGGTGTGTGAACCCGGGGGCCTGGGGGGAGCTCACCCTTCTCACCCCCTCCTACCCAGGCTCAGCCAGCAGAGAACCGCAGGCAGGCGAGGGTGGGGGGGGCAGTGGCATGCAGCTTGGGGGCCCTCCCGCGGGGGTCAGCTGGACGGCGGGAAGCCGGTGGGGGCTCGCTCGGAGCATCGAGCGGCCTGAGCCTCAGCAACAGCAGGGGCACTTCAGGGCCGGCAGGAGCCCACGGGCTGGCCGGGCCGCCCCGGGTGGCCTGCGAGCCTGAAGGGGCTGTCAGCGACTGAGAAGCCCGCAGGAAGGTCCGGCTCGCGTGTGCCTCGGGCGTGCCCTGGGGGAGGCCTGACGTTCAGCAAGAAGCCCAAGCATCCGTCAGTAAGTACCAGGGATACGCAGAAGAGGAGGATACCGCGGCGGGTCAGCAGCGTGGGGAGCCGGGCCAGGGCTCCCCTTGGCTCGGAGTCCTTGGGGTCCTCCCAGGAGACCCTGGGCAGGAGCTGAGTCCCCCGGGAGCTCGCCGCCAGGTGCAGGCAGCAGGCAGAGCCTGAGGCTCCTGGGCCGGGGAGGGGGGTCGGGCCCCGACCCCACCTCTGCACCTCACCGGGCAAGAGCTGCCCACTGCGCTGTTCACACACCGGGCTCGCGACGCTCATCAGATGGACTCTTCGTCCTTAAGCGATGGAACGTCAGGCCTTCTGTCTCCTCCTCCCTACGAGTCAACGGAAGTCACACGAAGTGGGGTTCACCGCATCGACAAGGTGTGAAAGCCAGAAGCAGGGCCTGGAAGCGGGGTGGCACGTGGCCTGTTTCATGACGCTGTTATCCACAAATCCTCTCTTACCCCAAATCCAGGGAAAAAAAAAATTTTTGATTCAGGTGATTAAAGAAGAAAGAAACCTGAAGCTCGACCCAGGTCAGACCCCTGATTTGAAAGGCCAGAGCTGTCCCCGCATCCGTCAGCCCTCACGCTGCCCGCTCGGCCAGCGTGTGCCGTGCCCACCACTCACCGCCCGGGAGGAGGGGAGGCGGCCCACACTGAGGTGGTAGCTGGGCCAGGGTCTCCCTGTGGAATCCAGGAGTGGTTCTGAGGTTGCTGCTCTCGGGAGCCGTCAGAGCAGAGCTCAGTTCAGGCACAGAACAGCTCCAAGCCCCGCGGCCCACCTAAGCGTGCCAGGGGCGCCTTGGCCCCCTGCTGAGGCAGTCTCCCCTCGGGCTGCTCACTTGGAGCCGAAGGGAATCGCGTGACTTGTGTCGCCAGCACCATCCGTCCTGATGGGTGGGTGAGCGAAGCCCCTCCGAGCCCTGGCTCCGGGCAGCCTGCCGGCCGAACTGACCGCAGAGAAGGCTCTGGAGGCCAGGCCCTCGCTGGCCCAGCACGGGTGGACACACCGCAGAGGACAGCGGGATGGGGAGCTGAGAAAACTGTGTCCTTGAAGGGGACTCTAACTGCCCCCACACACAAGCGTTCCTGCCGGAACAAGCCGGATCACAGCTGTAGTTGCAAGAAACTTAACCAAGAATAAAAATGAGAACTCTCAAAAGTTATGTAAGGAACTGGGTAATTTTCTGGAAAAGATTCATTAGCATTTAAATAACAAGCTCCACTTATTTAAGCTCCACTTATCAAGTCAATAGTGCCTGGAAGACACTTAGCCTCCTACCCATGAGAATGTTTTTCTAGCTCTTCAGGGCCTCTCTCCTGGCAAGGCAGTGGAGAGACACAATCCCCATTCACACCTCGCTGTCCAGAGATTGTGGGCTCTGCATATCATTTGCATTCCGATCGAGGCCAAAACATAGTTCAACAGAGTCTTCTGTGGAATCCTGCAAGTCAAGGACGAAATGCGTTTTTAAATCAATGCCCCCGAGTAGCTGCATGGGATGATCCAGGAAATCTTAGAAGCTATCGATGGGTCTGCGGCACCGAGCCTCCGGGTCAGGTTCCAAGTCCAGTGGCCAGAAACTCGCAAAGGGGAAAAGCCTCCGTGTAAAAGAAAGTCACGCCATCACTCTCCAGCGCCGCTCCCCGGGGAGGCGCGAGGGGGCGGCTCGTGGCCGTGGCCGTGGCCGTGGCCGGAAGCAGCTGTGTGGGGGAGGCGCGTGAGGCCCGGGGTGGGCACTCCGGGGCGGACAGGCGGAGTCGGCCTCTCATCTGTCCGGTCCCCGGCGTGCCTCTGGGCCTCAGGTGTGCGTCGAGGAGGTGGGGGCGCCGGGATTCTAGCTGGCTTGGCGGGGTCCGGCAGGGGCTGCCCGCCGGCGCGGGGGACACCGAGGCGCACGGCCCCGCAGCGAGAGGGCCAGCTGGCCTGCGCGGTTTGGCCCCTCTCTGTCGGGTGGAGCGAGACCCGAGGCCGCTGTCGCTGGCGGTGCTGGTGCCAGTTTGAGAAATAACTGGGCGCAACTCCCCCCGAGAAGCAGGGCATTTGGGGGAGCAAAGCCTATCTCAGACCTTCCATTGGCGTAGGTGGAGCCCCGGGGAGCTCCCCGGTAACTAAGCCCCCCCCGCCTTGCCACTAATTCCAGGAAGGCGATGCTGTGGTGCAGCCGGGCTCTGTGCCGCTAGAACACGCTTTTCTCAGCCAGCCAAGAGTCCAGCTCGGAGCCGGCCACACACCGCCTGGGCTCCAGGCGTGGCGAAACGGCCCCGCGGGGCCCGACCCAGGGTGCCCGCCTGTGTCTTCACGAAGATGGTAGACGCCTGTTAAGCACCGGCTGTCCACGTCCAAGAGTCCAGATCTCTGTCTAAATCCAGAGGATCCCTTGGAAAGCTGCTGCCTTCAGCGGCCGGCTCGGGTGCTGTTCCAGCGAGAGGGACCGCCATTTGTTCTGGAACTTGTCAAATAGCCCCAGGCAGGCAGGGCCACGAGCAAGACCAGACCGCGCGAGACCGGAGGCCCCTCCGCCCCGAGCTGAGGCAGCAGTGTGCCCCGCGCAGGAAATTGGCTCTCGCGGTCCGGAGGCCTGAAGTCCGCGCTCCGCTGGCAGCAGCCTGGCGCTCCCTCTGGCACAGGAGAGTAGGCGCCTGGCCCCTGGCTCCGTGGGTGCCAGTGCTGGCCCGTGTCCAGGGCCTGAGGCTGCAGGCCCCCGACTCTGCCCCTCCGCCAGGCCCTTCCCTCGCCGGGGCCTTGAGGCCCGCGTGCGCTGAACAGCAGCCCCGCACCCAGCATGGCCTCCCTGGGCTTCGGCACGCCTGCGGTGACCACCTCTCCGAGTGGAATCGTGTGGGAGCCCCTGGGGGTGAGGTCGTGGGCCTGTCTTCAGGGGGAGCCTGATTCAACCCCAAGCAGCTCGTGGTAGGAGGCCCATCGGGGGGCGTGGCTCCAGCTCCCTCCTCCCAGAAGACGGGGTGCTCAGCGATGACGCGCCTCGGGCCACGGAACCATAAAGGGCCAAGAGCAAACCCCTAAGTCCGGGCCGTGCTCGCCCACAGGGCGCTGGTGAGTGTGTAAGTGCGCGCGGGTGTTCAGCGGGGTGAGGCGGTCGCGAGTCCCAGGCTCAGGCCGCAGTCGGGGCGGGCTTCCTGGAGGCGTGGGCCGCCGAGCCGGGACTCTGAGCGCGACTCTGGAAACACAAACCCTGTCTTGGCTGTCCGCAGATCCCACCACCCGGAGGAACGCGAAGGCAGGGCCCACCGCGAGGAGCCGGTACGCCAGCCAGTGGACCCTCAACCGACCCCACCCCACCATCTCAGCACACACCCTCACCACAGACTGGCGGCTGCCGACGCCCAGGGCTGCCGGCTCCGTGGACAAGGAGAGCGACAGCTACAGCGTCAGCCCCTCGCAGGACACCGGTAGGACACCGCTTGAGGCCCAGCACCGCCAGGGAGGGACCCGGGGCGCCCGCTGCTCCCCTCAGCAGTGCGCTTCGTCCATCTGCCTGTCCTGCCCCGCTCTGTCTCTGGGGAGTCCTCTCACCCCCTGCACCCCAGTTCAGTATGCACACGTAAATAAGTCTTTAAAAAAAAAAAAAAAAAACAAGGTCACGTCCAACTGGAAGGTTCAGGTGTGGCCATACAGCGCTGGCCCTTGGCCCCGAGAATTCCACCACGCAGGACGCTCGGCACCGGTTCTCCGGGGCCGCAGCTCCGCCCTTGGTTCCCCCCCTTCAATTTTGGTCCCAGGGGTTTGGGGAGGCAGCGACACCCTACATTCTGCACCCACACGGCTGCACACGCCCAAGCAGCCCCGAGGCCTGGCCCCACCGCCGCCCCCAAGGTTCAGATGCCGCCCCTGGAGCTGCCGACGCAGCCATGCCCCTCTGTGGGGCGCAGGCTGAACCCCCGGACAGCCCCCCAGGGTGGGAGTGAGGCAAGGCAGCTGGGCTGTGCCACCACCCAAGGCTTCGCTTCCGAGTGAAGACAGGGCCTAAGAATAGCGCCCATTGCCCCCCTTAACTGCTGAAAAGAAATTATATCTGATCCTAATAGCTGCGGGAAATTTTAATACTCAATTTTCTTTTGTTCTGGATGATGCACTTCAAAAATAGTGTTCCAAGGGCGGAGTGTCACCGTGCACATTTACTTTATGCTGCTACAAACTTCCAAGAGTCTCGGGGTGTCATAGAGGTGACTTGAAACTTTTTAGGGGGCTGGCAGTGCAGCGATTCCTCTGACCAAGTGCTCTCTGTTTGCTCGGGTGGGTCCAGTCCTCATAAAGGGCAGGAAGCGCCCAAGTGGAGGCGGCCGGGCGGGATCCAGTGTGCCCCGCTCAGCTCAGCTTCGTGCCGCCTGACGTGCCTGAGACCAGGAGCTGACGTGCGCCCCGGCCACCGCGCCAGAAGCTCTCGGTTTACGGTCAGAGCAGCGGGGGGAAGTTGCTGCTTCATTCATGTCCCTGGTTTTAACTCGGAGCAGAACTCTTTAAGGGGAAGGCCTGGACGCGTCCCTGGGTGGGGCATGTGACCATGATCAGCAAACGAGCACCCAGACTCCGCCATCCCATGGCTCGTAGTGAAGGTGGTCCCAGGTCTCAGGACTCAGGGCTCAGGGCTCAGGGCTCAGTACTCAGGGTGCAGGGCTCAGGTCTCAGGGTGCAGGGCTCAGGACTCAGGGCTCAGGTCTCAGAGCGCAGGTCTCAGGGTGCAGGGCTCAGGGCTCAGGTCTCAGGGCTCAGGGCTCAGGGCTCAGGTCTCAGGGTGCAGGGCTCAGGTCTCAGGGTGCAGGGCTCAGGGCTCAGGTCTCAGGGCTCAGGTCTCAGTCTCAGAGCTCAAGGCTCAGGTCTCAGGGTGCAGGGCTCAGGTCTCAGGACTCAGGGTTCAGGTCT